ATGGGAAAGCATCTGTGACATCCCATTGGCCCCTTCCCCATCCGAGGCCCTTACCTTCACAGAAAGGCCTGCTCCCAGGAGAGGTGTTTCTGACTCACTATAGTGAAGATGACTGATAAGCCATAGTGAGTTGCCTCTCTCAGAGAGATTTTCATTTTTATCATGCTTAAAAGCCAGAGGACCTCAGTTATAGGTGTGTTGAGTCAGGAGGTCCTACCCAGGGGCCCTAAGCTGCCTGCCTGTTATTCAGAAGGGAAAGAAAACAATCATTTACTATTTTTTTTTTTGAGACAGTCTTGCTCTGTCACCCAGGCTGGAGTGCAGTGGTGTGATCTTGGCTCACTGCAACCTCCGCCTCCCAGGTTCAGAAGATTCTCCTGCCTCAGCCTCCTGAGTAGCTGGAATTACAGGCAAATTTTTGTATTTTTTGTAGAGACGGGGTTTCACCATGTTGGCCAGACTGGTCTCGAACTCCTGACCTCAGGTGATCCACCTGCCTTGGCCTCCCAAAGTGCTGGGATTACAGGCGTGAGCTACTGCGCCTGACCTCCTCCATCTACTTTTATTACTTATAAAAAAACAATGTAAGAACAAGCTTTCTTAATAAGCCCTGGCACACTGTTGCATGTGGGGGTGACATAGTAACACAATAATATGTTCTGTGTTTCCAAACAGCTAAAGGAGAGGACTTTGAATGTTCCCGTCACAAAGAAATGATAACTATTTGAGATGATGGATATGCTAATTACCCAATTCGATCATTACAGTCTATACATTCGTTAGAACATCACACTGTACCCATAAGTATGCACAATTATCATGTGTCAATTTAGAAAGATTAACTTCTGTAATGGTACACAGCAAAGAGAGAAAAAAACGTAACTGACAATGTTTGCAAAAGCAAAGCCTGCATTGCTTCCAAGCAGAGGAGCTCCCTGCACAGGCAGCGCCATTTGTGAAACACTGGTTGCGAAGCACAGGCAGGCTGGCAGTGCACTGCCTGTGGGTGTCGGCGCTCTCGGGACAAGCCCCCGCCATTCAGGGGTGCTGCCACTGATCGCTGGGGAGCTGTGCTCTTGGAAGGTCCCAGTGAGTCATGGGATCTGTTCCATTAGAGAAATAGTGCAGCACACTCTTGTAGATAATTCAGATTTGGACACACGTCTGGCCATCAGGAGCCCTAGGGTTTGAAAAGGGCTGTGGTCACAGAGAGGTCGGGACAGAATGACGACTGTGAACATCCCATCCCAGGGAATGTTGAGTCAGGAAGGGCTTGAGACATGAGAGATAACCCCTGGTGTGCTGTGACTGCTTCATTCACTGAGCGGAGAACCACTGCAGTCAGTTGGCCACGCCAAAGAAGGCCAGCCCTATACCCAAAAACTGGACCCTGAGAAGGAAATGACAGACAAGAAGCGGACCGCCTTCTTCCTGCTGTTTATCAGATATTTCTGCTGCACTGGGCAGTTTACACCTGTCAGTTCATTGCATTCTCTTACAACCCTGAGAAGTAGGCGCTCTGATGATCCCTGTTTCACAACTGAGTGAAAAAGATTCAGGATCCGTGGGGCACTGAGACTGACCCCACATCTTCCCAGTGTATTCTCTCTCTTGATGAAATGGAGCTGGCTCCCAGCAGAGGGGCGGTGAGTGTAAAGGCAGATCTCGGCCAGGGAGGAGGACCTCATGTGGTCCTGGGCTGGGGGTGGCAGGGCAGAGAGGCTGGACAGGGAGGCATGGCTTTGACAATGCACGTGCTTCTTGTCATAATGAGCACTGCAAGAGCAGGACACACCCCAGTCTTGGGCAAAGGAGACAAAAATTCCTGGGAGCCCATCAGAGAGGAAAGGGCTGCGGCAGGTCTCAGAGGCAGCCGAGATCAGAGGCCGTGCATGAAGGTTAGTGCCGTTGCAAGGTCACGGGGAGCGAAGGAGAAGGCCCGAGAGGGAAGTGGAGTGGGCTTGCAGGGCCGGACGAGCTCTTCTGGGCACTGTGAAGAGCATTAAACAGTGAACTTTTAAAATACGCTTCGAGCAGATTGAGTACTGATTTTCTGCTTAGGTGAGATGGATCTTGGGGTCACTCACCTAGAGAGAGAACCTGTGGCCGGGCAAGGTGGCACACACCTCGAATCTCAGTGCTTTGGGAGACTGAAGCAGGAGGATGCTTTGAGGCCACGGGTTCAAGACCAGCCTGGGCAACATCACGATTAACGGCAAAAACCGCAATTACTTTTGCACCAACCTAACGTGCTCAAGGTCAAACGCTGGTCAGCGATTGGAACCAGAACTGAATCCAGGTCCTTTACCCTTGAACTTTGTGCTATTTTTCTTCTAATTACTTATTTGACTACCAGTGACCGCTTGATGAGTAATTTTTCATTGATTTGACTCTAAAAATGAAAATTCCCATCCGTTAAAGGAACAGGTGTGTTTATGGCCCGTGCAGCGACCCCTGCTGGACGCTTGTGTGTTGGAGAGAAAAAGATGCCTGGGAATGCTTCCACCAGGTCCCTGCTGGGCAGTGTGACTTCAGCCTGCGACAGGTGACAGGAGTTAGAGATGGTGCAGGAGGTAATTTGGTCCGTGTGCATACACTCTCCAGAATTTTAGGACATTTTAGTAATTTTCAAAATGTGCCATGCAGCCTGGTTCAAGTGAATTAGAAAAGAGAGCAGGAATTCATCAGGGAGGACATCACATCCACGTGGCTGCCCCTTCACTGGCTTCTGTCTTTACTCAAATGAGTTCTCCTTAGGACACTGGTTACCCCATCCAACCTTGGCATCCACTGCGCTCCTTAGAACTTACTGCTGTCCAACAGTCAATTTTGCTAAAGTTTCTTTTCTTTTCTTTTTTTTTTTTTTGAGATGGAGTTTCGCTCGTTACCCAGGCTGGAGTGCAATGGCGCAATCTCTGCTCACCGCAACCTCCGCCTCCTGGGTTCAGGCAATTCTCCTGCCTTGGCCTCCCAAGTAGCTGGGATTACAGGTACGCACCACCACGCCCAGCTAATTTTTTGTATTTTTAGTAGAGATGGGGTTTCACCATGTTGACCAGGATGGTCTCGATCTCTTGACCTCGTGATCCACCTGCCTCAGCCTCCCAAAGTGCTGGGATTACAGGTGTGAGCCACTGCACCCGGCCTGCTGAAGATATTTTGTTCTTTGTCAGTTCTTCCCATAGGATGTAAGTTCAGTGAGGGCGGGAATGTGTATGCTTTGTATGCTTCGTTCTCTGCCATTTCCCTAGTGCCAAGAACAGTGTGGAAGACACAGCAGGTGCTCAGGAAACAGGTATGGTGTTAACTGTGTACATGATACTCTCGGGAATGGTTTGAAAGGCATCAGTACATCAAAGGGCACCGGTAGAAATATGACAAGAAAGAGGATGAGGCCTGGAGGGTGAGAACATGTGTTGGATTTGATTGCAGCTGATATCACATGAAGGGTGTCCTGCCATATTGCTCAGGACCTGTGAGCAAAAAGGAAGCTAATGGTGGAGTCCTTTGCTTTCTTCACAAAGAAAACTCAATTCCCAGTGGCTGCTGGGTACCTTTGTCCCCTTCCTGACTGTATGATTTTTCTGCTCAGTTTTCTCCCTCCCTTCCTTCCTCTCTCTCTCTCTCTTGCTCTGTGGCCCAGGCTAGACCGCCACGGCCTGGTGTGATCTCAGCTCACTGCAACCTCTGCCTCCCAGGTTCAAGCTATCCTCCCACCTCAGCCTCCTAAGTAGCTGGGACTACAGGTGCACGCTACCACACCTGGCTAATTTTACTATTTTTAGTAGAGACAAGGTTTCTCCATGTTGGCCAGGCTGGTTCAGAACTCTTGGGCTCAAGCAATCCACCCACCTCGGCTTCCCAAAGTGCTGGGATTGCAGGTGTGGGCCACTGCACCCAGCCTCTGCTGAGTTTCTGAAGGGTGCCTTAGAAAGATTTCCATGGAAAAGTTAAAATAATACAATTTCAAACACTTGAAGGGCTAACATTAGGCTATCCAGATCATTGTATTTCTTAACATTCAGGACAGTTGAATTTCTTTTTTGTGCTTTGATGTGTTACGGATCAAAAGACCAGGATAGCAAATATTTAAGCGCCGTACTGAGGCTGGATGGTCTTGGCCACATCTTAATTTCACTTGAAAGCTGGGAAGGTGACTAAGTAGATTTTAAGGTGACTTCTATCTCCAAAGACACCTGGGTCTGTGAGTCTGTAGAGAGTGGAATTTTGGGGGTCCGTGCATTCCCCACTCGGGCCCATCTTGGCTGCTTTGGGGAATGTGATTTAGTGCACTGATGAAGATCCTCACAAGTGAGATGTCTGTTAACCTGCAACCTCATCTGACCGGCTTGCATCAACAGGCTGTTGTTTAGTTCAGCTCTTTCCTTTGGGGTCTTTGGCTAGCATGCCCTCCTGTGGCTTGGGGAAGAGGCCTCATTTTGGTATAATTGACAGGGCGCATCTGCGTTCCTTTAGTGTCTATTGGAAGATCTTCCCTAGGCCTATCAGAGGTGGGAACAGTGCTTGGAAGTTCTTTTCCTCCCTTGGGAGAGAAGCTACAGTTCTCTGCAAAGAAGACCCAGCCTAACTGCCTCAAAAACAAATTCCAGGGGACACTGCGAATGCTGTCCTGGTAAAGAGAAGACACTGGGAAGCTGTGCAGTTGAGATAAACTGGAGTTGAAAATGCAGTCCAGGCCAGGTGCGGTGGCTCACGCCTGTGACCCCAGCACTTTGAGAGGCCAAGGCGGGCAGATCACGAGGTCAAGAGATCAGGACCATCCTGGCCAACATGATAAAACCCCATCTCTACTAAAAATACAAAAATTAGCTGGGCATGGTGGCACATGCCTGTAGTCCCAGCTACTCAGGAGGCTGAGGCAGGAGAATTGCTTGAATCTGGGAGGCAGAGGTTGCAGTGAGACAAGATTACATCACTGCACTCCAGCCTTGGTGACAGAGCAAGACACCATCTCAAAAAAAAAAAAAAAAAAAAAAAAAAAAAGAAAAGAAGGAAAAAGAAAATGCAGTCCAAGAATGACAGTGTGGGGACTTTAAGAGCAGGGAACAGCTCAGCTGAAGAAAATAGAAAATTTCCTCCTTGGTGGTTAATTTTTTAGCTCTAAATCTTGTGGTGGGGGGAGTCTGTGGGTAAGGCTGGGGTGGAACGGCACTGACCTGGTTCACCCTACAGACCTGTGCCAGTGGGAAACTAGACTGACAGGAACATAGTGTAATCTATTTTTTGGGTTGATTTGCATATGCAGATGAGATGCAACTATAGGCATGATTAAATTGTTTTGCTGGTGCAGCTGCTAAATATTTGCTTTCTGTCTAGTGCTGGAAAAGTCATTTACATCTTGGTAACAACCAAAACATGCATTTCTCAAATCAGACAAATGATTCCTTAAACACACACACACACACACACACAGAGCAAAACAAAACGGATGCCATCATTTCCTAACCCTCCTGAAAGTGAACTCTATCTCCCTGGAAGCCCTTTTCCCAATGGGTTTCTGGACTAGAAGGTGAGAGCCCTGGACCACCCATCATCGAGAACAAGCTGCTCCAAGCCTTCTGCACATTCCCTGGTATACCATTCTTGGCAGGTAAAAAAAGTGAAAAGCCAGTGACTGGGTACACGTTATTGGCGGGGCACCATTCTCTATGCTTTAGGCATTTTTCTGTTTATTCCTTGCCATCATTGTAGGGGATAGGGAACTGTGATTTTACAGTGAAGATGCTGAGTTAAGTGACTGCCCCACAATCACACAGTCAAGAAGCTGGAGTTCTAATCCAGAAGGGCCGACTGCAGAGCCTGTGTCCTTCACCTTGATATCAAGTTGCCTCCCACAGTAATTCTAATGGAGACCATCTCTTTTCTAACATTCCTTTTCTAGATGCAGAATCCTAAGGGAGACCTGTGGGGATCGCTCCCATGTGAGGCCCCTAGGAAATGGGCCTCGCCATACGGTGAGCTTGAGCCCGGACACAGATCCCTAGTTGGGGGAGTCGAGCTGAGGGAAAGCAGGAACCGAGAGAGGAACTATATGTTATTCAAAATAATCAACAGTCATTACTTTATGGATATGAGGACTTGGGAGGCATTGTGTCTACTTTCGGCTTCTTATGGTTTATTGTCTCATTGTGTTCATTTTGGACCCGTGTTACCTTCATTGCAAAATATTAACTTAAATATTTACACTTGGTAACTTACCGTAACTTACAGGGCGTAACTGTAACTTATTTACCATAGCTTACAGGGCGTGACTGTAATTTACTTACCTTGACCTATTGGGCGTAACCTACTTACTGGGCGTAGCCTACTTCCTGGTCTTAATTTACTTACTGGGCGTAACTTGCTTACCGTAACTTAAGTACGTTAATCTGGCGTAAACAACTTTAACTTCAGAAAAGTATATAATGAAACACATTGCAAAAATAGAATTGCTGCATGAGCATAGCGCATGTAGCCCTCCAGACCTTGCCTTTTCTATCTCCTTTTTTCCGGGGCGCGCGCTCTCTTCCAGGTTTGGGACCCTCTCACTGGACGAGATTCCCGGGCTCGCGTTCAGTTCACAACAGAATCCATTATCCAAGGGGAGTCTTGGCCAAAGCATAAAAGACAACACAGATAGCAATGGAGGTGTTCTCACTGAAGCCGGAGTTGGACCCTCCTTCAGTTTTTGTGACACTGAGTCCTGGGTTCCTAGGGACCCATGTCTCTTCTGAAGTGGCCCTTCCTGGGATTCTGCTGCTCTTCTCACTGGTTGATCCTTCTTTTAAGTGCAGTCAGTCCTCATAATCACAGATTTCTTATTTTCGAATTCATCCCCAAACCAATACTCATCGGGCTTTCTCTGCCATTTTGGACATGCGCAGTGGGAAGTGTGCATGGCTGACACATGCGTCCTCAGCTGGGGGAAGCAGGGGCCACCCTGCCTTTTGTTTCTGCCCTCACAAGGTCAATGAGTGCTTTCTCCCAAGGTCTTGTTAGTGCCATGTTTTTTGCATTTTTGTGCTTTTGGTTGGTGATTTTGCCATTTAAAGTGGTCCCCAATGGGTTTAGTGGCAAAAACCTGTGGCCTCAGCACTTTAGGAAGCTGAGGCAGGAGGACTGCCTGAGGTCAGGAGTTTGAGGCCAGACTGGGCAATGTAGCAAGACCCCCATCTGTACAAAAACTAAAAAATTAGCCAGGCTTGGTGATTTAACCCTGCAGTCCCAGCTACTCAGAAGGCCGAGGTGGGAGAATGGCTTGAGCTGAGTAGTCCAGGCTGCAGTGAGCTATGATCATGTCACTGCACTCCAGGTAAGGTGACAGAGCAAGACCCTGTCTCTAACATTTTTTTTTAAATAATGAAATAAAATGGCCCCAAGCATGAGTGCTGGCTGGTTCTCCTAAGGGCAGGAGGGCTGTCACAGGGCTTGCAGAGAAAGTACACGCTGGGTTTCATTCATATGTGAGTGATAGTGTTGTGGGCCATGATCTAATGAGAATGGGTTAATATATATTAAATAAGGTGTATTTGAACAGAAACACACAAAGTAAGGCAGTGTCCTAACTGGTCGGTGAAACTGTTGTCATCTAACCTTGTATTTCCCCAAGGAAACCGTAGTATTCACCATTCCAGTGTTGGTGGTAACTTTGTAAAACATAACTACTATGAATAATGAGAACTGACTGAACTCATCCTTTTTAAAGAGCTTCTTATCTGGCAGATAATGTGCTAGAACCTTATTTAAATGAACCCCACTTCTCAATCCCGTATGTTTAGTATCATTACCCCAGTTTATAGATGGTAAAACTGAGTCCTAAATAATTTGCTAACATCACTACACTAGAGAGAGGTGAGGCCACCGCTGAGCGCCACGTGGCACATTGTTCTGTTTCCTTTCTGTTAACGCTTTCTTTCTTTTCTCTTTTTTCTAGATACACTGCCCAAGGTGGAGTGCAGTGGCATGGTCCTGGCTCACTACTGGCTAATTTAAACAGATTTTGTAGAGATGAGGTCTCTCTATGTTGCCCAGGCTGGTGCTGAACTTCTGGCCTCAAGTGATCCTCCGTCCTCAGCCTCTCAAAGTGCTGGGATTACTTTGAGCCACAGGCCCGGTGCTGACCACTTATGTTTACTGGACTATCCCAGTTTGGCATCTTGTATGTTTGAGCCCCTGACTCCCAACTGGTTTCTTTGGCCACGGTTGAACACAGTTCTCTCCACATTTCTGTATTCTACAGACACTTACAGAAACCTTCCCATCAGCGTTGGGATGGTTACAGACAGCCAGGAGCTGATGCCCAGACGCCTCCACCTTTTCTTCCCTTACCTCCAGCTAGCTTCAGGTAGCCCTTGGAGTTTTCTTTTCTCTCCCTCTCTCTCTTTTTTTTTTGAGATGGAGTCTTGCTCTGTCACCCAGGCTGGAGTGCAGTGGTGCGACCTGGGCTCACTGCAATCTCTGCCTCTCGGGTTCAAGCGATTCTCACAACTCAGCTTCCCGAGTAGCTGGGACTATAGGTGCCCGCCACCACGCCTGGCTATTTTTTGCATTTTTAGTAGAGACGGGGTTTCACTATGTTGACCAGGCTGGTCTCAAACTCTTGACCTCAGGTGATCCACCCGCCTTGGCCTCCCAAAATGCTGGGATTTACAGGCATGAGCCAATGTGCCTAGCCAGAGTTAAAATTTCCAAGTAAAGCAAAATGTCACGTAGCAGGAAAGAGAAAAAAAGAGAAAGAGAAAAAAGACAAGGAATGGGGACGGTGCAGACTTCGAGGAGGAAGAGGAAAGGTGGCCAGGATGGGAAGGGAGGGGGTGGTGAGGGGGCGGCATGGGCTGCTCAGAAGATGCCCCGAAGGATGGGGCCAGAGGAGCCAGCCCTGAGATGTGTCTGTCACTGACATTGGGTCATTCTTTACATTTCAAAAGCATCTTCACACCTCTCATCATATTTTGCGTGTCACAGTCACTGTGCGTGGGTGAAGAACACATTCTTTATTCTGCTTTCACTGATGAGAAAACCGAAGCACGAAAAGCTCCAGTGATTTGCTCTTGGTCATGCGGTGCTAATTTATTCCACATTTGGGACAGGCTATTTCTATCACACAGCAAGATTCAGTTATTGCTTTCCTGATATTTCATTTTTTAAAGCCAATACCATGAGCAGTCTATTAGGAGACAAAGAAATTCCCCTTTATTTTACACTTATACCCCGTGACTATTTCAGTATTTTTACTTAACGACAATTTCTCGAATTTCATTGCTCATGTCGAAGCATTTGACTAAAATACAGCAAAACGCCTGTTCCTTTCAAGGGGGTCAAATCGTCTTCCGTGGACAGGAGCGTGTCATGTGAGTAAAGATGAAAGTAGCTTTGCTGCACTCTTCTGGGAATCTTTCTAGGGATATTAGTAAAGTCAAGAATAGATCAGAAATGAAGAAAAGGTGGGGATGTAAAGAATAGCTTTCATGGAAAATTGAAATCGTTCCTTTTAAAGTGTACAATTTCCACCCTGATCATACATCCCAACGCTGCACCATGGGTTCTTCCCAGATATGAAGGCGGCTGCAGGGACAGGATTTTGATGCAACTGTGATTGATGTCAGCAGGTCCAGACCGTGATATTTCATGACAAATTTAACAGACGTTTATTAAGTAGATTCAATGGGAACAGCTCCAGGCTAGATAGGGCTGGAAGATACAAAGGGAAGATGTAATCCGTGAAGGTTGTAGAGGCCAGTCAGGCACTGAAATCCACAGATACAGGTTGTTGTGCGCCTACTTCATGCCAGCTGCTCTTATTTTACGCCATCATTTCCCGAAAGCCTCCCGCACATGCCAAGTGGAATGGCACGATTCTGCTTACTGTAATATGAGTCTGTCTGGAAAGGTGCAGTGACTTCCCCAGTGAACAGGGGCGGCCCCGGGCTTTGCACCCAGGCTTTTGCCTCCAGACGAAGAGCTGTCACTCACTGCACAGGAAGCAGCAGGAGAATAATCAAGTCACAGTCTCAAGTTGGGACACCAGGCTGAGATCCAGATTTCTGCCTACACCAATGACAGAAGAGTTCAGCATAAACTCGAGATCCTATGGGTTTGTGTGACAGTGGCATGGTGACTCATGCGTGATTGAGAAGACAAAACACAGACAATTTAAGGGCTTTTGCACAAGTGAAGTCGTCGTGGAAATGTTTTCAAGGAGCAAATGCCTTTTTAATAGAGAAACTGACTTGGCTAGTTAGCAGGTTTCTTTCTTGAGTTAAAAGTAGTTGCTGCTATTATATCCTGAAGCGTCTGGCTGTCCTGGTGGGGACAGATGAGCGCTGCCACAGGCCTGGAATATACCAGGGGGTAAGAATAGCCCATAATAAGAGATGACTGCTGTTTGCTCTGCTGGTCACTGCAGTTGTTAGGAATGTTCTGCCTCAGAGGGCTGTCTCAGCTTGGAGACAGAAAAACCCACCTCCTGCTCCTGGCTCAAACCTTTGCTTTCCATCTGCAGCTCACACCTTGAAGTCTTTGGAGTTAAAGGACATTTATCCGGGCAAGGATTGTTCCACCTCCTTGGAGAACAGTCCTCCATAGTCTCCTGCAGCCTCGAGCCTGTGACATTCTGGAACATGGAAGGCGTGGACGTGCTAGGGTTTCTCATCATCACGTTAAACTGCAACGTGACCGTGGTGGGTGAGTATGGGACCGTCTCCAAACTCCTGCGCTCTTTTTGTTTCCCTTGCCACGGTCAAACTGAGTCTTCCTAAAGGGTCCATTTTCAGTTTGCAGTCACCAAACTGAAAGTCCACCCACTCCCAAAAGAAAGGGCTTGTGCCTTTCTGGAGGAAAGAGAGCTGAGGCTTCTAGTTTCTTCGAATGGTTCCGTGGTTCCTCCGTCACATAAGGGAGCCTTGGGTGTGACATTGTTCTCTCAGAGGCCTCCTGTGCTGACACCCAGGAGCTAAGTCTGAACACTAAAGCAGATGGAGGGGTGTTTCTGTGCAACCCTGGCGTGGCAGAATAGCTCGTGGTAATGAGAAAGTGATACCTTTAGGTTTTATACTGGAAGCTTATTTTTTTTTTCTTTGAGACAGAGCCCTGCTCTGTCACCCAAGTGGGAGTGAAGTGGCATGATCTCAGCTCACTGCAACCTCCGCTTCCTGGGTTCAAGCGATTCTCCTGCCTCAGCCTCCTGACTAGCTGGGATTGTAGGTGCCTGCCACCACGACCAGCTAATTTTTGTATTGTAGTAGAGACAGAGTTTCACCATCTTGGCCAGGCTGGTCTTGAACTCCTGACCTTGTGATTTGCCCGCCTAGGGCTCCCAAAGTGCTAGGATTACAGGTGTGAGCCACCATGCCTGGCCAGCTTAATTTTTAAGGAGTAGCCATTTCTCTTGTGCTCTTTAAATCAAATCCCAAGTTTAGTTGTTTTTTAAACAAAGAAAATAATAGATTTTTGTTTAATGCAGATGACTCACATTTTCAGAGAGGTATGGGGGTCAGAAAAGGATGAACAGAAGCCAGAGATGCAGCTGATACTATTCTTGCTCATTTATTTTGTGGATTTAGACAAAATCAACTTGACGTTAAAAGTTCAACTCCGTGACTTCATCACATAATGATATTCTTCTTTGTTTGATTGTCTTTATTTATAATAGTTTTGTTTTTCTGATGTCATGCGATGTTTCTCTATCACATCACAAAACAGAATATTCACAAGTTATTTTGGCTGAGTATTCAACATGTTTCAAAACAGCTGGCCCACGGCATGAAATAGGGCTTGGTAGTTATTTTTGTCTCCTAGCTTGGTCTCCTTCATTCCTGAAAAGCTGAAGAAAGACAAGCCTCATTCATTCTTAGTAACTGGAAAAGAAATTCTGAATTGTTAAAAAATCTGAAAAATGGAACGTTCTTAAAGAAATTCAATTTCAAGGGCCACAGACTAACATTAAATACAAGCACTGTGATTAAATAGAGATTCCTGGACTGTTATCCTAAGTCAAGAGGATTTACTGAAATCAGCAGCTCAAATCGGCTACACACAGTTACAGGAATATGCCAGCCTCTTTGAAGAGGCTTATTCTCCAAAGAAGATAATTTAAATCTTATTTAAATTATTAATTTGCTCAGCCAAACTTTCTCTCTGGACCTGTCAGTCCAGGAGACATTACCAAAAGTGTGAATCAGGAGTCAGATTAAAACATTTTCAATATGATGCTTTTTAAAAATCTGCCCATCTGGAAGCTTCTTACAAACAAGAATGTTCTGTGCTCAATAAATATTTGTCAGATGAACTACCTACCTCATACTCTTGCTGTGAGTAGAGACAAGCTGCAGGGTGTGGCGGCTCATGCTTGTAATCCCAGCTACTCAGGAGGCCAAGGCGGCAGGAGCACTTGAGGCCAGGAGTTCAAGACCAGCCTGGGCAACATAGCAGGATGCTGTGTGTAACAACAATAACACAAACGAACTGAACACTAGCGACATGCTCACTGGCTTCTCAGTTCTGCAGGCCCAACAGAAACTCCAAAAGTGTTCAAGGCGGTGTACTGGGGGTGACGAGGGCGTGCCTGCTTCCTCTCTTCCAGGAAAGCTCTGGCTGGTCCTCACGCTGCTGCTGCGGATGCTGGTGATCGTCTTGGCGGGGTGCCCCGTCTACCAGGACGAGCAGGAGAGGTTTGTGTGCAACACGTTGCAGCCGGGATGCACCAACGTTTGCTACGACGTGTTCTCCCCCGTGTCCCCGCTGCGGTTCTGGCTGATCCAGGCCGTGTGCCTCCTCCTCCCCTCCGCCGTCTTCAGCGTCTACGTCCTGCACCGAGGAGCCGCGCTCGCCGCGCTGGGCCCCCGCCGCGGCCCCGACCCCCGGGCCCGGGCCCCGGCCCCCGGGCAGAGGCGCTGCCCCCGGCCCTGCAGGGAGCGCGGCGGGCTCCGGGTGCCCGACTTCTCGGCCGGCTACATCGCGCACCTCCTCCTGCGGACGCTGCTGGAGGCCGCGTTCGGGGCCCTGCACTACCTGTTGTTCGGTTTCCGGGCCCCGGAGAGCTTCCCGTGCACGCGCCCCCCGTGCTCCGGCGTGGTGGACTGCTACGTGTCGCGGCCCACGGAGAAGTCCCTGCTGATGCTGTTCCTCTGGGCGGTCAGCGCGCTGTCCTTCCTGCTGGGCCTCGTCGACCTGGTGACCAGCCTGCGGCGGCGGATGCGCGGGAGGCCGGGACGCCGCGGGGAGACCCCGAGCGCCGCCCCCGGGAAGCAGAGCGTAGGCCCCGGCCACGCGGAGGAGGGTGGGTGGGAGGAAGACGGGGTGCCGGCGCGCCCGGGTGCATGCGCCGCAGCGGAGGGCGGCCCCACGGGTCCATCCAGGGGGTCAGGGCGCACGGGGATACCGGATGAAGATGAGAGCGAGGTGACGTCCTCCGCCAGCGAAAAGCTGGGCCGAGAGCCCCGGGGCAGGCCCCACAGAGAGGCCGCCCAGGACCCCAGGGGCTCAGGATCGGAGGAGCACCCCGCAGTAGCCCCCAGCCGCCTGGCCGCGCACCCCTCCTGCAGCCGCCTGCAGCCCCCAGACTCGCCTGCAGGCTCCAGCGCTGCTCCCCACGGGAGGGCCAGGAAGTCTGAGTGGGTGTGAAATAAACAGCACCCGGCCGTGCTTCGGGGCTCACGCCTGTAATCCCAACACTTTGGAAGGCCCAGGTAGGAGGATCGCTTGAGTTCACAAGTTCGAGACTGGCCTGGGCAACATAGTGAGACCCTCGTCCCTACAAAATAACTAAACATTAGCTAGGCACAGTGGCTCTGGCCTGTAGTCCCAACTACTTGGGAGGCTGACGTGGGAGGACCATTTGAGCCTAGGAAGTGGAGGCTGCAGTGAGCCAAGATCCTGCCACTGCACTGGAGCCTGGGCAATAGTGTGAGACCCTGGCTCCAAAAAAAAAAAGGACCAAGCTGAGCTGGGAGAGAGCCCTGCTGTCCTTCCCACACGGAATGCCTGTGCCAATGCACATTCACTTTGGCAACTAAGGTCCTCAGACAGAAGGGCGAGCTGGCCTGGGAACACATGGACCTCACTGGAGACTCTGATACATTCTCAGTACAGATTTAATTTGGATAACACTTTTTTATTTTTAAAAAAGCACATGCCATTCAAATGCCCCAGCAAAACTAAAGTGATGAAGTGGTCAGCTTTCTGAGGATGGTGAGCTGGCTCTGCCCACTACACTCCCCAGTTCTAGTACCAAATTATTTGCCATGTGTTTCATGCAGGGCATGTTTGCTTCCATTAGTACAGTTTTTTTTTTTTTTTTTTTTGAGACGAAGTTTCACTCTTGTTACCCAGGCTGGAGTGCAATGGCACAGCTCACCGCAACCTCCGCCTCCTGGGTTCAGGCAATTCTCCTGCCTCAGCCTCCTGAGTAGCTGGGATTACAGGCACGTACCACCATGCCCAGCTAATTTTTTGTATTTTTTAGTAGAGTCAGGGGTTTCACCATGTTGACCAGGATGGTCTCGATCTCTTGACCTCGTGATCCCCCCGCCTTGGCCTCCCAAAGTGCTGGGATTACAGACTTGATAGTTTATTCATGTTTAATATTTTCTAGTGAATTATCATGAGGTTTTTTGTTTTGTTTTTTTGCTTTAGATGAAAGAAACATGTTATGCATGTCATAAATAGAGAGACATTAAACTTTTCCAAACTCCTGAATAAAATTGTATTAGTTGATTTTCATACTGCTATAGAGAAATACCAAGACTGGGTAATTTATAAAGAAATAAAGGTTTAATTGACTCACAGTTGCACGTGGCTAGCGAGGCCTCACAATCACGGCAGAAGGTGAAAGAGTAGAGGCACGCCTTCCATGGCAGCAGGCAAGAGAGTGTGTGCAGAGGAACTGCCCTTTATAAAACCATCAGATCTGTTGAGACTTACCATCACAAGAGCAGCACGAAAAAGACCCGCCCCCATGATTCAATTACCTCCACTGAGTCCCTCCCACGATTATGGGAGCTATAATTCAAGATGAGATTTGGGTGGAGACACAGCCAAACCATAGGAAAAATTAATGCTGATTACATTATAATATCACACTTCATACATCACTGTGTTAGAGGGGAAATGACAAATACAGAAAATATGGTTAATAAACAGTTGGTTTTGGGGGCATCATAGTATTCTGATATGTGGGTGTAAGGGGCACAGGATGTAGGGTGAGTTGTCCCTGTGTGTCTATGCTGGGTGGCTGTCCTCGCCTTCTAGAGGGAGGATTTGTCACAAGCATTTTAGTTGAGGCTTTGTGTGTGCCCTTTGGAGAGTCATGCAGTTCTGACTTCCCCGAGAATTTTCACATTTTAGTGGAGAAGATGGGAAAAACTGTGGGTATTGGGCATGCACAGTCTACGTTTATGACTTTTGTGTAGCAACGGGTAACTCCCCCAGGTCTTGGGCTGGGCTTCCGATCCAGGCCTTTCTGCACCGCTCAGCATTGTTCTGGCTTTGATCTAGGTGATACCCAAGTTCAGGTGTGACATCCAAGTTTAGAGTTGGCCGAAAACAGGCAGGTGGGAGGATACAGTAGAGCAGAAGTTTGCTATGGGACAGGATGAACTGGCTCACCCTCATCAAGAGGGGAAAGAGGCACCTGGGTGTAGTTAAAAAACTGATAACTACACCCTGGTTTCCAGATAGGGAAGGGCTGGGACGAGGCACCACCCTTCACTCCAGCAAACAGCAGAAAAGGTGAACCAATTCCTTATCAAAATGATGGGCATTCTGACGGTTCTAAAGAAGACCTTGACAATGGCATATCCTCAAGCACGGAGAACACCAGCCTGCCTGACGTATCTGCAGGATGTCAAGGCAATTGGTTCAAACATTTAACAAAAATCCCAAATTGGTTTGGGCATAAAGCTGTTTGAATGAATGTGCCTGTTTAATATATTCTCTCTCTCTCTCTCTCTCTCTCTCTCTCCTTTCTCTCACTTTTGCTCCTTAAGCCATTGAAAGCTGTGAGCCCTGCCTCTGACCCCGTCTTCAATATTTAGATCAATGTCTGGCACATAGTGGCTGCTCAAGGAATGTGTTGTTTTTTTTTTTTTTTTTTTTTTTCCATCTGATATTCCTGAAACAGTTAGGGGCAAATCTTATCCCTTGCTGTGTCAATCTGGTGGACTTCTCAAGACTGGGTCTTTTAGAGATACAGGATTTCTTCCCTTCCTCCCATCCTTCCTCCTCCCTCCCTCCCTCTCTCTCTCTTCCTTCCTTCCTTCTTTCTCCTTCCTTCCTCCCTCCCTCCCTCTCTCTCTTCCTTCCTTCTTTCTCCTTTCTTTCTTTCCTTTCCTTCTTTCTTTCTTTTCTTTCTTCTTTCTTTCCTGTTTGTCTCTTTCTTTTCTTCTGATCTTCCTTCTGTCTATGTTTGAGGCAGGAACTTGCTCTGTCACCCAGGCAGGAGTGCAGTGGCATGACCATCATTCGCTGCATGAACTCACTCTGGGAGAGGGAGGGTAAGAGGACCAGGGGAAGAGATCCAGGCTCTGGCCTCATGCCCACCATTGCTCGCCAGGTTGCCAAGTCAGTCCCTCTCCCCGGGCTTTTGCTTTCTCCTCTGCATGACAAGGGGCCCTGACCAGGGGATTCCTCAGTGCTCTGTGAGGGTCGGACTCTGCTAGTGAGAGGTGCAGCTGCCAGTCATCTTAGCATTTATGAGGCCTGTCCTGCTACCTGCCTGCATGCAGGTTTTGATCAGATGAAAATGGCAAGAACAGTAGAGGCCTGAGTGTCCTTAGGGGAACTGCCATGGCGAGGATGTGGAGAAAAAGGGACCCTTGTTCTCCCTCGTGCACTCTTGGTGGGAATGTAAATTAGTATAACCATTATGGAGAACAGCATGGAGGATTGCTTGAGCCCAGGAGATCAAGACCCACTGGGCAACACAGCCAGAACCCAGCTCCAAAACAAAACAAAGCAAAACAACAAAAGTAAAGATAGAGATAGAGGATCCAGCAATCCCGCTGCTGTGTATTTATGCCAAAGAAAAGAAGCCAGCGTGTCAAAGACAGAGCTGCACACCCACGTTTGTTATAACACTAGTCACAATAACAGAGATTAGGAAGCAACCTTAGGTTCCATCGGTGGATGAACAGCTAAAGAAAATGTGGTTTAGATGCAGAATGGAGTGTCATCCAGACATAAAAAGGATGAAATCTTGTTATCCAGCAATGTGGTCGGACCTGGAGGACATTATTTTATGGGAAATGAGCCAGGCACAGAAAGACAAATGTCACAGATTCTCAATCCTATGTGGGGGCTGAAGAACTGGGTCTCATGGAGGAGGAAGAGAGGAGAATCGGGGTCACCAGAGAAGGGGAAGGTGAGGGGACCTGAAGGGAAAAAGAAAGAATACAAATGCACTTCTTAGCACCAAGCTGTACACGGAACAGTGATAAAGATGGTAGATTACATATGTCTGTTTTACCTCAATGAAAATAAATTTTTAAAAAAAGAACAGCTGACATGGAAGAGAGGCAGAGCCTGTGCAAACTGGGGGCAGATGGTCCAAGGCCCAGTCCTTAGCTTCATACTCTACTGAGTGATGGATGAGCTGAGTGGACAGAGCTGGGGGCCAGGGGGGACATCTGATGGGACCCTGTCCTGTGATGAGCAAGGTGGTAGAAGAGGCATCGCCTGTCCGAGAACTGGGTTGGCCTTGCTCGTGTGATGGTGACTCATTGTGGAACAAGCCGATGTAGGCGTCCCTCTTTCTCTTGTCTTTGCTGTCACACTGGGCGCTGAAGATCGCTCCTGGTTTTGTAACTTAGGTTGTGAAGCCTTAAAATTTTTTTCCAGTCCATGGCCGGTTGTGGTGGCTCACACCTGTAATTTTATCACTGGGAGTCCAGGGGTTCGAGACCAGCCTGGCCAACATGCTAAAATCCCATCTTTACTAAAAATACAAAAATTAGCTGGGTATGGTGGAGGATGCCTGTAATTTCAGCTACTCAGAAGCCTGAGGCAGGAGAATTGCTTGAACCTGAGAGGCAGAAGTTGCAGTGAGCCGAGATCACGCCATTGCTCTCCAGCCTGGGCCACAGAGTGTGACTCCATCTCAAAAAAAAAAAACAAAAAACAAACAACAAAAAAAACACAAAAATCATTTTCCAGTCCTTTAAAGGGAGAGGGGGCCAGGCACAGTGGCTCATGCCTGTAATCCCAGCACTTTGGGAGGCCGAGGCGGGTGGATCACAAGGTCAAGAGATCGAGACCATCCTGGTCAACATGGTGAAACCCCGTCTCTACTAAAAATACAAAAAATTAGCTGGGCATGGTGGCGCGTGCCTGTAATCCCAGCTACTCAGGAGGCTGAGGCAGGAGAATTGCCCGAACCCAGAAGGTGGAGGTTGCGGTGAGCCGAGATCGCACCATTGCATTCCAGCCTGGGTAACAAGAGGGAAACTCCGTCTCAAAAAAAAAAAAAAAAAAAAAAAAAGGGAGAGGGGAACAAATCTTAGACTATATTCAAAAGGTTAAAAAGAAGTAGAAAATCATGTGGCTCCCAACTTCCTTTCCAGACTTCAATCTGTGTCTTTGCATCTGGCACACTGGGTGACTGAAAGATGACTCACAGGTCTGCATGCCTCCCACAGACGGTGAAGGAGGATCCTACGGCCTAGGGCAGAGACAGTGTGCAAGTTAATGTAACTGCAGCTGCAGTAACAGGCAAACCCCAGTTTTAGTCACTAAATGCAGAAGAAGCCTCATTGGGTACAAAGTGTCTGTTCCTGAAGTGAGCAGCTCTGCTCCAGGTGGTGACTCAGGGACCCCTCCCTCCTGTGGCTCCAACATCTCCTGCCCACATTACTAATTGCTCGTGGGGTGGACAAGAGGGGCTCCCTAGGTCTCAGCAGTTAGATGGCACTGGCATGTTATCTAACCAGAACTTAGTCCCGGCTCTAAGGGAAGCGACGGAAGGTGACTTAGCTACGTGCCCAGAAAGAAGGAGGAAAAGTTGGGGTGAACAGGTAACCAATGCTTGCCTAAGGCAGCAACTATTTTCTGGGCACCTGCCCCATAAGAGGCATTTAATAAATCCTAGTGACCAACGAACTTGTTGGTCACTAGGGAAAGCTAATCAGGGCCGTTGCCGGGTCCTCAGATGGTGGTGGAGAGAAGGGAGATGACAAGGACTAAGACGACTGACTGAATTAGGCACAGAACCCAAATCTCTCATACTGAGGGACTGTCCTCTTAATGACAATCACTTTAAATAAAAAGGGATCTTAATTGGTTTAAGTGTGTGCATGTGTGGGTTTTAGTTTCGCTCTTTGGTCTTTGCACAGCACAAAAGGCTCATGAGATAATTGGCATCTAACTTTCCAGGGACTTTAATTCCGAAATCTCCTCCCAGGGCAATCGGCAGGTGGGTTCTAATGTGCAATTCAAACTCTGACTTGACACGTGCAGCTGGCTACCTGCAGAGACACAAATGAAAGATTATGAAGATCAATGAGATTATACTTATAAGCGGTTTATGCTTAGCCAAGAACAGCATTTATGGAATTAACAGATGTGACACTGTTTTGGTAGGGAGTTGCAATCTGCGGAGGGAACCTATTTTGAATTTTCTGAGGGTAATTTAGGTTTCAGGCAAGAAATGCTGAGGAGGGGGTTGCTCTGTAGATGAGGAGAGGGGACATTGGATTTCTCGGTCACAGATTTGCTGAAGATCCCCTATGAGGTACACACCTCCCCCCGTGGACCCCAACACTTCAACTCCAGTAGTGGGCCC